GTAGATGATAGATTATACATTGTGTAGATGATAGATTATACATTGTGTAGATGATAGATTATACATTGTGTAGATGATAGATTATACATTGTGTAGATGATAGAATATAGAGTGAGTAGATGATAGATTATACATTGTGTAGATGATAGATTATACATTGTGTAGATGATAGATTATAGAGTGGGTAGATGACAGATTTTACATTGTGTAGATGATAGATTATACATTGGGTAGATGACATGTTGTGATGAGAGGTTATAATGTGTGTGGATGTGATGTTACAGGGCCGTAATTATCCTTATGAGCCATGTGGAAGAGCGTTCATTACTCTACCTGCCTCACTTACTTCCCCGGAATATGACGGCATGACTACTAATTTGGACTTGCTGCTGAAAAACCTCACAGAAAAGGTATGTCATTTCTTTTCTATGTCAACAAGTTGTTTTTGGTTGTCTCTGTAAAGTGTTTAGAGTATTTTCCTAAATGTGAACTGTCATGTTGCTGCTTTAATCATACTATTAACATTGTTGGTCTAACTGCTGTTTAAGGCATGTTTTCTTAGCTACACATATCATTTGTTACAGCTGGCTGTCAAGTCTCCCCCCGGAATCTGGGTCAGCAGTACAGATATGATACTCTCCATTCCAGAAAACGCAGGTATGAAAACTGATTTTCTTTGAAACCTAGTTCTGTAACAGTAAACAATACTCATTATTAGTATGCTAACAAAAAAACAAAACATTTAATTTTCTTATTCTTTTTAGTTCACCTGGCCAAAAGGGCCAAGTGAGCTTGTGCCATGGTGCGGGGTCCGGTGTCAAGATTTTACTTTAAACAACTCCTTCTTAATAACCAAAAGTTATAGGGTGATGATATTTGGCCAGAAGCAAACTGGGATGAAGGGCTACCAAGGTTGTTCAAATAATTGACCTCCACCTATATTCAAGGTCATAGAGGTCAAATATGTTGAAATCTTTCAACAACTTCTTCTGAATAACCAAATGTCCAGGGTTTGGCCAGAAGCAAACTTGGATGAAGGGCTACCAAGTTTGTTCAAATAAATGATGTTCACTCATATTCAAGGTCAATTGTCTTAAAATAACTTTAAACATCTTTTTTAAATATCCAAAAGAACCAGGATGATGATAATTGGCCAGTAGCATTTTAGGAAATTTACGTGGACGATTGTGAGATCAATACCAGGTTAGCGATGCAGGCCCATTGGGCCTCTTGTTTATCTTTAAAAAAGTCACCAACAGTTAAGCTGTTGATCTGGAATAATTTCTAATAGATGAAACTGTTGATTCATTGTCACTAAAATGTTACCCTGTCTTCTGGTGTCACTCAAATGTTACCCTGTCTTCTAGTGTCACTAAAATGTTACCCTGTCCTCTGGTAACACTAAAATGTTACCCTGTCTTCTGGTCTCACTAAAATGTTACCTGTCTTCTAGTGTCACTCAAATGTTACCTGTCTTCTAGTGTCACTAAAATGTTACCTGTCTTCTGGTGTCGCTTAAATGTTACCTGTCTTCTGGTGTTACTAAAATGTTACCTGTCTTCTGGTGTTACTCAAATGTTACCCTCTCTTCTAGTTTCACTAAAATGTTACCCTGTCTTCTGGTGTCACTCAAATGTTACCCTGTCTTCTAGTGTCACTAAAATGTTACCCTGTCCTCTGGTAACACTAAAATTTTACCCTGTCTTCTGGTTTCACTAAAATTTTACCCCGTTTTCTGGTAACACTAAAATGTTACCTTGTCTTCTAGTGTCACTAAAATGTTACCCTGTCTTCTGGTGTCACTAAAATGTTACCCGGTCTTCTGGTAACACTAAAATGTTACCCTGTCTTCTGATTTCACTAAAATGTTACCTATCTTCTAGTGTCAGTAAAATGTTACATTGTCTTCTAGTGTCACTAAAATGTTACCTGTCTTCTAGTGTCACTAAAATGTTACCTGTCTCCTAGTTTCACTAAAATGTTACATTGTCTTCTAGCGTCACTAAAATGTTACATTGTCTTCTAGTGTCACTAAAATGTTACCTGTCTTCTTGTTTCACTAAAATGTTACCCGTCTTCTGGTGTCACTCAAATGTTACCCTGTTTTCTAGTGTCACTAAAATGTTACCCTGTCCTCTGGTAACACTAAAATGTTACCTATCTTCTAGTGTCACTAAAAGTTAACCTGTCTTCTAGTGTCCCTAAAATGTTACCTGTCTTCTAGTGTCACTAAAATGTTACCTTATACAATGGTCGGGTTATACAGCACCTGTCTTCTGGTGTCACTTAAATGTTACCTGTCTTCTGGTGTTACTAAAATGTTACCTGTCTTCTAGTTTCACTAAAATGTTACCTGTCTTCTGGTGTTACTCAAATGTTACCCTGCCTTCTAGTTTCACTAAAATGTTACCTGTCTTCTGGTGTTACTCAAATGTTACCTGTCTTCTGGTGTTACTCAAATGTTACCCTGTCTTCTAGTTTCACTAAAATGTTACCTGTCTT